TGTTATATAGGTCTGACTGTACTCACAGAGCGCCTCCTGCCTCTAGCATGTGCCTTGCATCAAGTTAAATTATCCCTGGCTTGTTTGACTTTCTTAAAATGTATTGTGTGCACATGTGTTGGCTAGTTTTATGTCAACTTGACACAGGCTGAAGCCATTGAAAGGAACTTCAAATGAGAAAATAGCCTCCAGCCTGGCAGTAGTGGCACACGCCTTTAATCTCAGCACTCAGAGGCAGAGGCAGGTGAATCTCGGCATTTGAAGCCAGCCTGGTCTAGAGAGTTCCAGGACAGCCCAGGATACACAGAAGAAAACACCTTCTGAAGATCAGGCGGTGGCAAACCTGTGGGGCATTTTCTTAACTAGTGATTGATGGTGGAGGACCCAGCCCATGGTGGGTAGTCCCATGCCTGGGCTCATGGTCCTGGGTTCTATAAAAAAGTAGGCTGAGGAGCCGGGCGGTGGTGGCGCACGCCTTTAATCCCAGCACTCGGGAGGCAGAGGCAGGAGGATCTCTGTGAGTTCGAGGCCAGCCTGGTCTCCAAAGTGAGTTCCAGGAAAGGCGCAAAACTACAGAGAAACCCTGTCTCGAAAAACCAAAAAAAAAAAAAAAAAAGGAAAGAGGAAAAAAGGCTTCTCTAATGGTGATACTGTAAACTGGTGGTTACATAAATTATTCCCGGGCGGTGGTGGTGCACACCTTTAATCCCAGCACTCCGGAGGCAGAGCCAGGCGGATCTCTGTGAGTTCGAGGCCAGCCTGGTCTCCAAAGCGAGTTCCAGGAAAGGCGCAAAGCTACACAGAGAAACCCTGTCTCGAAAAACCAAAAAAAAAAAAAAAAAAAAAAAAAAGCAGGCTGAGCAAGCCACGAGGAGCAAGCCAGTAAGCAGCACTCCTCCACGGCCACTGCATCAGTTCCTGCCTGTTTTAGTTCTTGTCCTGACTCCCTTCAGTGACGAACAGCAATATGAAAGTGTAGGACAAATAAACCCTTTCCTTCCCAAGTTGCTTCTGTTGTGTATTTCACAACAATAGAAACCTGAAGACACTGCACATGTATATGTTAGGCAGCCCAAGTCTCCAGGGGCTAAGGTCAATTCTCCCTCCCCCAGAACCGTCTCAGCCAGCTGGACAGGGCATGGTAGAATGGCCCAGAGCAGACAGGAATGGGACTGTGAACTTGTGAACCATGGGTATAGGTGTCTCTGGCCAGGGGTGGTGTGTGTGGGACGCACACACACACACGCACACACACACACACACACACACACACACACACACACACACGCACGCACACACACACACGCACACAAAGGGAAGAACTCATCCTGAAACCCCTCAGAAGAAATGTAGCCCTCTAGACCTCTTGTTTTCTAGAAGTGTTTCTCATCTCCAGAACTGTAAGAACATAGGCACACATGCCTTTAAGGCCATGGGATGGTTGTGTTTTGTTACCGCAGCAACAGCAAATCCATACGCTAGCGTGCTGAGCTTTCCACAGCTGTCAAGCAACTGCCCCTGGCAGGGTGTTCTTACATGATCTTGCTGTGGCCTGAGCCACCCTCTCCTCAGCTTTGCCACTTTCACCTAAACATCTTTTCCCCAGGAAAATCTTCCTTGGCCCTACCTGACAGAATCAGATCTCTCTCCATCATGGATGTCATGGCTCCCATTTACTCTGGCACACCCTCATATCTTCCCAAAGTTTCCAGTCCCACAGATCTGTTCTCCAAAGCCTCTGTGACCAGTAGGTATTTACAGATCTCTTCTCCTGCTGGACTGAGATTCTGTGAAGCCAGCACCTGATCTGTTATAGCATAGTTTATGGACTGACAGGCTGGGTGTTAGCAAAGAGGAAGGCCAGCTCTGTCTCCTAGGACTCTCCTGACCTAAGCCTCCCTCATCACCTAATTCCTCCTTCTGTCATCCCTCCATTCCTTTAGTCATTCAACAAACATTTACCAAGTCATTAGTATGTGTCAGTGTCTAACTTCTGGATACTTGGAAAAATAAGGAAGGAGCCGGAGTAGGTGCAGAGGTTACCCTGGAGCAGACGGCTAGAGGCCAGCAGGTATCCTGTGAAAAGGATGTCACAAACTCAGGCTCTAGACATTGAGTCGTATTATTTGCCTGCAGTGTAAAATCACACATCCACACAGGCCTGTGAGTCAAGCACTGAGAGGACCCTGGACATCTTGTGGAGGGGCACAAAGGACAAGGGCTCAATGAGCACACTTGTGGCCACTTGTCTGGGTTCAATGTCCCGTGCTGCGCTTCAACAACTCTGGAACCCTAGGCCATTCGATGAATTTCATCTGCCTATTTCCTCCTGACCTGTAAAGCAGAAATGGCCCCAGTGATTCTGAACCTTGGAATGTGGTGGTTAGTTAGCTAGAGAATCAGTCCCCCAGGCAGAGGTCATGCTCAATCCTCTACAAATTCTGAGCTCAAGTCTCTTCTCTGTCTGTTGCAAAAATTTAAGAATGGTTTTCTATTTGTTGTTTTTCTGCAAAACAGATAAATAATTGCTGTTTGTTTGGGTGGGAGGCCACATTAGATAATCTAGTGGAGCCCGTTGCACTGACATTGCTGGGATGGATGGATGGATGGACAGAGAGAGATATGGATGGATGGATATACGCATGGATATATGGTTGGAGAAATGTCTGTATTTATAGAGATGAGTGAATTGATGGGTGGATAAATGGAGAGAGATGTGTATGTATAGAAGAATGTATGTATGGATAAATGGATGGAGAGATGTGTGTGTGTTGATGAAAAGAGATGGATAAATGCATGGATGGATGAATGAGAATGCTAAGGACAGTGCTACAGTGAGGTATAGTCAGTCCCCTCCTAGATTGGCAGAGGGAGTCCTAAGGAGGCACTTTGCTCTGATGCTGTAGTGGGAGCATCTGAGCTCTGGGAAGAACAGGGGCTTCTAGGACTGGGTTAGCTAGTCCCTATGAATTCCACCGAAGGTCCAGCATGACAGAGACTAGAGTAATGGTCCAAGAGGAGCCCCCCAAAGACAACAGATTATTCACGCACACTCAGTAAAGCCTCCTCTGTATACAGGGTATTGTGCCCACAGTAGTGGGTGCCCACAACTGGAGTAGGGATAGGGGCACATAGCAAAGAAAGGCTTTTCAGAGAAAGACTGTGCTGTGGATATCGCTCTGTATGCTGTGAATGTGTTGCTCTGATTGGTTAATAAATAAAGTGCTGATTGGCCAGTAGCCAGGTGGGAAGTATAGGCGGGACAAAGAGAGAGGAGAATTCTGGGAAGAGGAAGGCTGAGTCAGGAGTCACCAGCCAGACACAGAGGAAGCAAGATGTAAAGATACCGGTAAGCCACGAGGCAAGGCATAGATTTATAGAAATGGGTTAATTTAAGATGTAAGAGCTAGTCAATAGTTAGCCTGAGCTAATGACCGAGCAATTTTTTAATATGAGCTTCTGAGTGATTATTTTATAAGTGGGTTGCGGAACTGTGGGGCTTGGCAGACCCAGAGAGAAACTTTCCAGCTACAAGACTGGGCTGTAACTATTCTGCCAAGCCTGATGACCTGAGTTCAATCCCTGAAACCCACACGGTAGAAGGAGAAAACTGACTCCTATAAATTGTCCTCTGATCACATACACTGTGGTGCACACATGATCACCGCCCCCAATAAAAATACAGTAAAAAGGTGCTAAATTAGAAGCATATTCTTAGCTTGTGACTGGTCCCCATGGCAGGTGGACCCCTGTTCTGGGTGAGAACAAAACTATATTATTTTCTCAGGAAACCCACTCTTTTTGGGGGGGCAAGATTTATTCTTATGTGCATTGGTGTTTTGCCTACATGTATGTCTGTGCAAGGGTGCCAGATCCCCTGAAACTGGAGTCACAGACAGTTGTGCGCTGCCATGTGGGTGCTGGGAATTGAACCCAGGTCCTCTGGAAGAACAGCCAATACTCTTAACCACTGAGCCATCTCTCTCCAACCGCAGGAAATCCACTCTTATTCCAACCTCCTTAAAGCCCTCTTCTGAGAACCCAGAGGCAGAGGACAATGACATTTCCTTTGCACACCTCTCCTACAACCTCAGCGACCTCAGTGAGACTCCTTCCTTACCACCTGCTCTTCTGACACTGTCCTCAGGATGCTGGCTCTTTCTCTGCAGTTTCCTCCTGGGTCTCAGACCAAAGTCTGCTTTTCACCCCTGGACCCGACATTCCTTGAAAATACATACCAATGTGCAAAAATCTGAGAGAGTCTAAGGCCTCTTTGTGCCTCAGTTTTTTCTTCTGTGGAACATGGGTGTAAGACGAATTGCTAAACGTTCTTATTAATTTAAAAAAAAAAAAACCTGGAGCCAGATATTGGGGTGAAAGCCAAGAGATCAGAGGAATAGAACAAGCCACAGCCACAAGTTCTTACCCTAGGAAATCCTCAGCCCAAGAGAGAGCTTCTTCCTGTAATATCCACGCCTATATGCCTTTCTGTCCCTGCCCTCTCACTTCCTCTCTCCGCCCAGTTACATCACTTCCTCTTTCTGCCCAGCTATGTCACTTCCTGTCTGTCTGTACAGACCTCCAGACCTTTATGGTTAACTAGTGTTGGAATTTAAAGGCGTGTGATACCATGCTTGGCTCTGTTCCCAGTGTGGCCTTGAACTCACAGAGATCGGGATGAATCTCTGCCTCCCGAATGCTAGGATTAAAGGTGTGTGCTGCCGTTGCCTGACTTCTATGTTTAATATAGTGGCTGGCTTTTTCCTCTGATCCTCAGATAAGCTTTATTGGGGTGCACAAATAAAACATCACCACATATGGGAAATTAAACTTAGGGACTACTTGTGACGGGGCCAGATTAGGTGGTTCAGTGGGTATGGGCACTTGCTGCTAAGCTTGACAATCTGAGTTCAAGTTCCAGGCCCCATGTGGTAGAAGGAAAGAACCAACTCCCAGAAGTTGTCCCCTGATCTCTGTAGCTAAAGTTTTCCTGCCTGGCCCACAGTCAGGACAAATCTCTCTCACCTGCCAGTCCCACAGCCGCTCAAACCCGACCAAGTAAACACAGAGACTTATATTGCTTACAAACTGTATGGCTGTGGCAGGCTTCTTGCTAACTGTTCTTACAGCTTAAATTAATCCATTTCTATAAATCTATACCTTGCCACGTGGCTCGTGGCTTACTGGCATCTTCACATGCTGTTTCTCATCGTGGTGGCTGGCAGTGTCTCTCTCAGCCTTCCACTTCCCAGCTTTATTCTCCTCCTTGTCCCGCCTATACTTCCTGCCTAGCCACTGGCCAATCAGTGATTTATTAATTGATCAATCAGCAACACACTTGACATACAGACCATCCCACAGCAGATCTCCACATGCAGGCATGCACAAATACGAATAGATAAATTTTTAAAGAGCATTGCGGTGGTGAATATTGGTTGTCAACTTGGCAAGCTCTAGACTCACCTAAGAGACAAGCCTTGGTCATGCCTGTGGGCGATGAGCTAAATTGAGTTCACTGTAGGTGGTGCCATTCCATGGACTGGGATTCTGAGACAAAAAGAGGTGAGCTATTGAACCCACCTGATTCTCGCCTCCTGACTCTGGATGCAAGGGGACCAGCTGCCTTCAGCTTCTGTCACCATGTCTTCCAAAGCACACGGGCTGGCTGTAGCTCTGGAACTGTGAGCTAGAATAAACCCTTCCTCCCTTAAGGTATTGTCTGTCAGATATTTGGTCACAGTGAACAGAAACTCAATGAGCTCAATACTTCTGTTTTTCTCCTACAGTGTCTGTTTGGCCTCTGTACACACTTGGCTTTGCAGTTTTGCAGTTTTGTAAAGGAGCTTTAATTATGGGGTGGAAAAAAAACAATGTATGAGTTTAGAGAGAAGGTACCACAAAATACAAATCATGATTCTAAGACACACACCCCAACAATGGTCCATAATTAATTCTTGGGCTACATCTGCAGATGCTTGCTGTGTGACAAGTCCAGTGAGGTCGTGGGTCTCCTGCTGGCTCTGGCCGGACTACAAATGGAGTGGTCGTTCTCAGAAGTGTGGGGTGGGGTGCAGTCGAGGGGGAGGGACCGGGATGGCATGCTCCCTCCTGGACATAGCACACACCGGCAGCCTGGGGTAGGATGTAGTATAAATGCTTTCCCTCGGGCCAGTCGTGGACACAAGCCACTTTTGTCTCAGCTGCTCCAACAGTCCATAGTTTGTGGGGGGTGCTGCAAGAGAAACCAGGTTTGGGTGACACAGGGCTTCCAGGACTCTCATACATAGTGGTTATGAGAACACACATGGCTGTCACATCACCCATCAGCAGTATAGCCATCTGGCTCTGGAATGGCACGGAGTTGCCTACCATGCCACTGTTGTGCTAATGGAGACAACACCTCTAGGAGCTGCTGGGGTGAGGCACAAGGGCCAGCAGACAGGAGACACAATTGTCTCATACTCCCGCCACGTTTTCCAGGCCGTTATATACAAAACCAAGGCTGACAGGGTGAGCAGGGGCCTGAGACACATGAAAAGTCCTCACAATCCTCAAAGCAGGGCAGCGGTGGCCCACGCCTTTAATCCCAGTGCTTAGGAGGCAGAGGCAGGTGGGTCTCTGTGAGTTCAAGGCCAGCCTGGTCTAGAAAGCTAGTTCCAGGACAGGCAGGGCAAGACAAAGAAACCCTGTCTCAAAACACTAATAAATAAAAGAAGTTCTCAAATACTCTGCCCCTTACCTGGTTTTTGTTTTTGTTTTTGTTATTGTTGTTTTGGGTTGGTTTTTTTTTTTTTTTTTTTGTATAGTACACACACCTATCTGAATCTTTACTCAGTCCTATTTATTAATAAGTCTGTCTCCTTCTTGGATTATCAATTCCCTGAGGACAGAAGCATTCTGTGCTTGTTAGCCACTATGTCCCCCAGGAACTCCAAGGAAGATTCACTCACTCACTGTGCCTAGAGGGAATGCCTGGCATGGGAGTAGAGAGGGTGTTGCTTTTGACCACCTCTGGTCCTCGTGCAGAGGTGAGGCTGTCGTTACAGGATTATCCCTGATGTCAAGGGGAGAAGGCAGGTGCAGTCCTGAGCAACAAGCAGGGCTCATTTTCCTGTGACCTCACCCCAATGCTCCTGTAGGTCTTTGTAATACGAGCACACCTCAGCCCTGTGCCTTTGTGGTCCCCCTTATAGACCAATACAAGGAAAATCTCCAATTATAAAAGTACCGAGAAGGGGAAAGTCAGACTTCTCTGGCAGCCACAGCAATTTCTGTCCGTTCCAGGTACGCAGGGCGGGCACACCGGGGTTATAATTGTGTCGATTGTAGTGATCATCATAGGTGCTGATCAGGTACCGATGAGAGGGCTCCTGGTGGTGGGTGATCAGGTGCTTGTATGGGAGACCCTGGAAGGACAAACAGTGGTCACATTACCCATCAGAGCAAGGTGTCCCTTCCAGCCCAGGATGCTGGCAGTAATCACCTCTCATGGAGCTGAGACGCCAGTGAAGAGGAAGCCCCCACTGGTCACCAGAGACCCCCCAAGGGTCACAGAACTGTCTGTCCCCACTGGGACACACTGCTCTTTCAGTTATACACTCCAGCTAGCCGCTTTCAGTTCTCTGGCCAAGTCCATTCGTCCCCAGGGTGAGCTACCGTGGTAAATTAAAGTCAAGATGTTCAACTGAATGGAAGCTGCCAGCGCCGCTCAGGGCGCAGCTTTGGGATCTGACGTTACACCCTTTGGTTAGGTCTTGCCTTGCTCCCCGCTACTGCCCGTTTCCAAGGTAAGGGACATTTGGACTTCATATTTCCTTCAGTTACGGTGGGGAGAGCTAGAGAAGTCTCTGTAAATCACCTTCCCCCAGGAAGGATTTATGGCTCCCTCGGCTGCAAAGCAAGGAGCTGTTTCTTTGATGAGGAGTTATTTACCAGGAAGGAGAAAGCTGTGTTTTTCTGTCTGGGATGCCTGTCTGAAATCGGGGTTTTCCTAAGGAAGAAAGGAATTCTAGGGAGTCGGACTAATTGAAAGGAGGTCGATTCATCATGGACCGTAGACACCCTGCACTTCAGGCTTCCAAGAGTCGTCCCATAAATAAGTCAGAGCACAATGCCAGAGAGACACGAAGGGTTTGGGCTGGAATGCGATGCACAGTTCCCAAGATCGGCACCACCAGGGGCCAGGAGTCCCTTTCTAAACCAGCTAGTGAGCTGGTGCTTTTCCCTGAGTGGCAGACCTGCAGGAGAGGGCCCAACAGGGGTTTTATTGGCATTTCTTTGGATTCTGCATATCTCAAGTGGCGCACGCCTTTAATCCCAGCACTCGGGAGGCAGAGCCAGGCGGATCTCTGTGAGTTCGAGGCCAGCCTGGTCTACAGAGTGAGTTCCAGGAAAGGCGCAAAGCTACACAGAGAAACCCTGTCTCGAAAAACCAAAAAAAAAAAAAAAAAATGATACCGTGGTAAACCACTGACTTGGAACTTTCGTGAGGAGGGGGAATGCAATACCACATATGGCCACACGAGGGAACAGAGCCCCAGCCAGGGACAGCTGTTAACTTGAGACAGGGATGGGGTTTGGTGAATGAACAGAAAGAATCTTGAGGAAGAGATTTCTGTTTGTTTCGTTGTGTGTGGTGGTGGTGGAGTGTCAGGGAAACCTTTTTTTTTTTTTTTTTTTGGTTTTTCGAGACAGGGTTTCCCTGTGTAGCTTTGCGCCTTTCCTGGAACTCACTTGGTAGCCCAGGCTGGCCTCGAACTCACAGAGATCCGCCAGGGTCTGCCTCCCCAGTGCTGGGATTAAAGGCGTGCGCACCACCGCCCGGCTTTTTTTTTTTTTTTTTTTTTTTTTGAGACAGGGTTTCTCTGTGTAGTTTTGGGTCCTGTCCTGGATCTCACTCTGTAGACCAGGCTAGCCTCGAACTCACAGAGATCCGCCTGGCTCTGCCTCCAGAGTGCTGGGATTAAAGGCATGCGCCACCACCGCCTGGCTTGTCAGGGAAACTTTTAAGTGCAGATTTATTTTATTTTTATTTATATGTATATGTGTGTTGAGGCTTGGGAGGAGGATGCCCATGCTGGCCAGAAGAGGAAGTCAATACTTCTCACCTGCAGCTGGAGTGACAGAGGGCCGTGTGTTGACAGACATGGGTGCTAGGAATTAAACTCAAGTCCTCTGTAAGAGCAGCAAGGGCTCTTCACTACTGAGCCATCTCCCGGCCCCTGGAACTAATTAATTTTAGCCATACTGAACCATGAATTGGGGTCAGGGTTTGCAATGAGTCCAAAGGTCTCTTTAAAAGATTGCCTAATGCTCTGTACTTATCATAGCCAAAGGCCAAGAAGCTGTGGTGTAATGACCTGTTATGGAAGAGCAGGGATAACAGGATGTGATTGGGGACTAGGAGCCTCAGGCTGTGGGTTTTATTCTGACTTCCTTCAGTTAAAGCACCTTTGTATCTTCCATGCGCAAAGCTGTGGTGAAGTTCAAGAATCCAAGAGCACACCCTGGAGATGCTGCACGGTCCCAGGACCGACACCAACACACCTAGGAATGGCAGTGTGGACTAGAGATGCGTGCATGGTCTGGGCATGTCAGTGTCCTTGTGTCTCAGGGATGTCAACAAAGCGTCTGACACCACTTATTATGATGTGACTTTCCCCAAGGCAGAAGACAGTCATCTCTGGCAGTGTCAAGGCAAAACCCAGCTCTCATCTCAAAGGAAATACAAGATAGTTTATTCTTATTTTTTTTAAGATTTATTTACTTATTTATTATGTATACAGTGCTCTGCCTGCACGCATCCCTGCAGGCCAGAAGAGGGCGCCAGATCTCATTACAGATGGTTGTGAGCCACCATGTGGTTGCTGGGAATTGAACTCAGGACCTTTGGAAGAGCAGCCAGTGCTCTTAGCCATCTCCAGCCCCAAGATAGTTTATTCTTGAACCAAATATGAGTGATCAGGGCTTGGGAGCACAAGTTCAGGTCACCAAGAATAATAGTAGTTTGTATGTAGAAACAATTTCATGATTTTTTTTTTAAAAAGAATCCATATTATTAATCTTTTCTTGCATTTATGTGAAAAAAGCCGAACATTTGTTTGTATACAGGCATGCATGCGAGTGTGTGTGTGTGTGTGTGTGTGTGTGTGTGTGTGTGTGTGTGTGTGTGTGTAAGCGTCTATGGAGATCTGAGGATCTCCTTCCAGCAAAGGGAATTCCAGACACCAAATTCAGGTTGTCAGACTTGGTGGCATGAGCCTTTTGCTCACTGTACTATCTTGCGAGCTGGCTCTCATGAAGGCTTTGTTTTGTTTTGTTGTTGGGGTTTGTTTGTTTGTTTTTATTTTTTGAGACCGGGTCTCACTGTGTAACCCCGGCTGGTCTGGAACTTCCTATGTAGACCATGCTGCCCTAAAATTCATAGAGCTCCACCTGCCTCTTGTGCCCTGAGTGCTGAGATTAAAGGCATATACTACCACACCTAGAATCTTGTGAAGTTTTCTTACAGGTACAAAATAAAGTCATAAAGCATTTTCCAAATGCATTAGTGGGAGCATCAGGTAGGTGTGTTATAGCAAAGCGAAGAAATCTCTGCTTAAGTCCCAGATGCTGTCTGATGGCATTCTCAGCTTGGGTAGGTGGAAGTTAACTTAATACGTTTTGAAAATTTTTACCAGATAGCAACAAGGATGTTAGGTCAAACACAAGGGCAATGAATAGCTACTAAGAGGACTAAAAATACCCTCAAATAATTTGGCTCTCGATCTGCAACATTCCAACCCATTATAATTAGGAAGTTCTGACCAGTCTGTCAGGCTTGTAGAATCTTTAACGTAGGTGTGGCCTCCCCCGCTACCCCTAAGAACTTCAGTTTATACTGAAATAAGAATTTTAGTCTGTGATGGAATAAAATTCTTTGATTCAGGTCTCAAGGCTGGAGAGATGGCTCAGTCAGTAAAGCTGCTTGCTGCCAAGCTTGAGGACTTGAGGTTGATCCATTTTCTGCAAACTGTCCTCTGACCTCCACACGCACAGATGGCTCCCACAGGAAATGGACAAATTAATGTTTTATGAAAACTTAAAAGAAGCCTGGTGGTGGTGGCAATGGTGGCAGTGCATACCTTTAATCCCAGCACTCGGAAGGCAGAGGCAGGCAGATCTCTGAGTTAAGACCCGTCTGATCTACAGAGTGAGTCCCAGGACAAGAAACCTTGTCTTGAAAAGCAAACAAACAAACAAAAAACAAATCAAAACAAAAAAACAAAACAAAACAAAAAACCCCAAAGTTTAAAAGAAAGACACATTCATTGTCTCTGATTCATAGAAAAGCCACCTGCTTGTTCCCTTACCATCAAGCCACACAAAGAATTTGTTTCCTGCCTTTGGATTCTGAGTAGCTGGTCTCTTGGGGGCTCTTCCCACACTAAAATGCTCTGATTCTCACAAATCACACCTCACTCCTTCCTGTCACTGGCCTGAGTTTAAAGAGATGTTGGGGCACATGGGATGAGGAGACGACAGGCAGGCAAAACAAAACACTCAGGACGCTCACTTGGGATTCTCCGAGTGTGGTGGCACAGAGCACAGCTGTGCCCTATGGATGATGGTGACAAGCTTGCTATCCCCACTGCAAGCCGTGTAGGAGGTGCCCTACCCTGCTGTACCTGGAGGTGCTAGGATCCCAGAGCCTCCGGGGCAATCCCACCGGATAATTGTCACTTACCTCCACTCTCCTTTTCCCGTACCACCTGGATATATGGTCTGGTCTGTGGCTTGGGAAGGGGACATATTCCTTCCTGTAAATGCACTGTGGGGTGCGGTCAGTGGCTTTGGTGAACTGGAAAAGAACACATATGGGTGAGAATGTCTGAGAGGCTGCCTCTCTCACCCCTGCTGTGTTCCCCAGCCACCACAGCGGAACAGAGTGAATAAGAGCCCAGGACACAGCCGGGCGGTGGTGGCGCACGCCTTTAATCCCAGCACTCGGGAGGCAGAGCCAGGCGGATCTCTGTGAGTTCGAGGCCAGCCTGGGCTACCAAGTGAGTCCCAGGAAAGGCGCAAAGCTACACAGAGAAACCCTGTCTCGAAAAACCAAAAAAAAAAAAAAAAAAAAAAAAAAAAAAAAAAAAAGAGCCCAGGACACCTGATAACACAGGAGGGACATGAGCTAAGGGGCTCAGAGCCTCCTCCAGACTCCCTTGGTGACGTTCTTCTGTCCTTTCTTTTTTTTTTTTTCAAAATTTATTTTTATTTTAAGCGCATTAGTGTTTTGACTGTATGTATGTCTGTATGAGGATGTCGGGTCCCCTGGAACTGGAGTTATGGACGGTTGTGAGCTGCCATGTGGGAGCTAGGAATCCAGACCCATGCTCTCAACCACTAAGCCATCTATCTCTCCAGCCCACTTTTGTCCTCTCTTGCTCTCAGCATTCCTCCTAAGCTAGTGGTTCTCAACCTTCCTAACGAACGCTTCGACCGTTAATACAGTTCCTCATGTTGTGGTGACCCCAGGCATAAAATTATTTTCGTTGCTACTTCATAACTGTTATTTTTCTACTGTTATGAATCATAATGTAAACATCTGATATGCAGGGTGTCTGATATGTGACCCCTGTGAAAGGGTCGTGTGACACCCAGGTTGAGAATCAATGCTCTAGACTGTAAATCTTTTCCTTCTCCTTTCTCTTTTGAATTCCCCATTCTCCATCTTCTTTTCTTACTTTTTTTCTTTTTCTTTTTCTTTTCCTTTTTCTTTTTTTCCTTTGGTTTTTCAAGACATGGTTTCTCTATGCATCCCTGACTGTCCTGGAACTGATTCTGTAGCCCAGGCTGGCCTCGAACTCACAGAGATCCACCTGCCTCTGCCTTCCAAGTGCTGGGATTAAAGGGGTGCCCCACCATCCTTATTTGTCGTGATCTTGTGCTTTCTGATTGCTTTCTTAATACGGTAAACTAGTAAGTATATACGAGTTTGACTGTTTTGTTTGAGTGCTTGTTTTCTGCCTGGACAGAGTTTCAAAATATAGCCAAGGCTGGCCTTGAAGTCATGGTCTTCCCTCCTCACTCTCTACTCATGTGCCAGGGTTACAGGAATGCAGAGGCCCAGGAATTTTAGTCCATTTTTTTTTTTATTTTGTATTTTGAGATAGGGTTTATCTATGTAGTCCTGGTTGTCCATAGGAGCTTGCTACGTCAACCAGGCTGGGATCAAACCCACAGAGATCTCCTGCCTCTGCCTCCCGAGTGCTGGGATTAACGTTGTGCACCACCTCCGCCCAGCTCCGGTTTAGTCATTTTTAAGTGTACAGTGCAATGACATTAAGCACTTTCCCATTGTTGCTCAGCCACCCCCCAGTATCCCTATCTAGAAGGTCTACATCCCAAACGCCAGGCTCCCCTGGCCATGCTGCTTTCAGTTTCCGTGAACGGACATACCCGGGGCACCCGGGAGAAGTGGTCCCACAAAGTTTGTCCTGTTACAGCTGGTTCCTTCCACTCACGTCTTCAACATTCGCTCAAGTGGGAGGACGTCCAGAACTTCCCTCCTCGTAGAGACTGTGCGACCTAGCATATCTCATTTATCCATCCATCGACGGGTGAGTATTGTCACCTGCATTGTGCCTCCTCTTGGACTAAATGGGAGCAACGTTGCTCAGAAATATCTTTCTGAATCTGAGTTTTCGTTCTTTTCAGGTTACATTCAGAAGAACTGGTGGGTCATATGGTCATGTTGTGTCCAGTTCTCTCTATTCCTCCCCCTTCTCCTTTTAAGAAATTAATTTTTTAAAATTAATTTTATTCTCATTTTAAATTTTTTTCTTTATATATATATGTGTGTGTGTGTGTGTGTGTGTGTGTTTTGCCTGCCTGTATGTGTGTGTGCAGTGCCCCCAGAGTCCAGAAGAGGGCATCAGAGGGAACTGGAGTTACAGGTGGTTGTGACCTGACATGTGTGTGCTGGGAACTGAACCTGTGTTTTCTGGAAGGGCAACTGGTGGTCTCAACCAGTGAGCCATCTTTACAGCCCCTTTGTTGTAGAATATTTCTTTACACTGTGTGAAGATGTGTCACCGTGATTGGTGTAATAAAAAACTAAACAGCCAATAGCGAGGCAGGAGATATAGGTGAGATTTCTGGACAGAGAGAGCTCTGGGAAGAAGAAAAGAAAAGTGGCCAGGCAGACACAGAGGAAGCAAGACATTCATTCAGGAGGAGAGGTAAAAGTAAGTCACATGGCAACATGTAGATGAATAGAAATAGGTTAATTTAAGTTATAAGAGCTAGTGGGACAAGCTTAAGCTAAAGACTGAGCTTTTATAATTAATAATAAGTCTCCATACTCTGTGTGTGTGTGTGTGTGTGTGTGTGTGTGTGTGTGTGTGTGTGTGTGTGTGTGTGTGAGAGAGAGAGAGAGAGAGAGAGAGAGAGAGAGAGAGAGAGAGCGAGCGAGCTGGCTGCCCAAAGAAAAATCTGTCTACATATGGCTTCCAATGTGGGGGCTCAAATATCCAAACATAGGGCCTGAGAAAGCTAAGAAAAGTTCTGGACAAGGAGCCTGATGTAGATTACTAGTCCTACAGTCTCTCAGGCGGGCTGGTGCTCAGCAGCATAAAAAGGCACCCTTACAGGCTCCTGCCTGCAAGCTGGAGTCAGCTGCCAGCACCAAGCACCAGTGCCAAGTGTTAACCTGAGCTGTGTGGCAGCTGACATGGCAGTTTAAGATTTGTCTCATGCTGTGAGAGAACACTGCTCAGTAAAGACAGATCCAAATGGAAAACATCTCTAAACAAGTTACAGTGTGTTTAAAAATATGTGCATAGGCTTTAAAAAGAAAAGAAAATAGGTATAGACAGCCATAGAAAAAATAGTTTATCAATAATAAGATAAAGGCTTTATAAAGGGAATAAAATAATATGAAAAAGATAAGCCATGTAAAGATGGAAAATACACAGAGAGTCTGGATCCTGTATGGTGTCTTATTGATTTTGAATTTTTTGAATGCTAATGAACAATTTGGTTTAATAAAAAGCTAAACAGTCTGTTTTAAAAACAATTTTTAATTTTTATTCATTATAATTGTGTGTATATGTACAGGTGCTTGAAGAGACCAGAGGTATCAGATCTCTCTGGAGCTGGAAATACAGATGCAGGGGGTGGGAGGATAGGGGATGGGTGGTGGGTGGGTGTTGAACTGCTTGATGTGGGTGCTGGGAACCGAACTGGGATCCTTTGGAAAATCAGTGCATGTTCTTAACTGCCAGGCCGTCTTTCTAGTCCTTTAACAACCATTTCAACATGTGTTTATTTGATGGGGGGCTTGGGGTATACATGTATCAGATGAATATGCAGTGGTGAGAGGACAACTTGGGAATCAGTTCTCTCCTCTGCCATGTGGGATCTGGGGATCAAACTCAGGTCCTAACTCTTCACAGCAATCACCTTCACCCACGGAGCCATCTTGTCAGCCACCTGCTCTTTTCTTTTTAAAGATTTATTAATTTTGTTTAATTAAAAATTATGTCATTTTGCCCCACTTCTGTTCCTTCCCTCCAATCCCTCCCATGTACCCCACATTACATCCTCTAGAAACCACAACCTCTTTTTTTTAAATTGTTAGTTATCACACACACACACACACACACACACACACACACGCACACGCACACGCACACGCACACACGCACACACGCACACACACCCCTAAATATGTAAGTACAGCCTGCCCAGTATGTTTAGTGTTACTTGTGTGTATATGATATCAGGGATGATCACTGACATTAGGTATCCATTTAGGGAGCTGGTCTCTGAGGAGGACTGTTTGCTCAGCTCTCAGCATTATTTGTTGCCTGTAGTTCTTTGTTGGAGGGTGGAGTCTGTTCTGTTCTCTTTTTCTTTCCCTCCCTTCTTTCCTCCCTTCCTTTCTTCCTTCCATGTCCTCCCTTTCTTTTTTATTCTGAGATAGGGTCTCACTATATAACCCAGGCAGGCCCCAAATTCAGAATCCCCCTGCCTCGGCTTCCCACATACTGGATTAAACATTAGGAAGATTAGATGGAGCTCTCACCACTGAGATACATCCCTAGCTCTTGTTATTTTGTTTTTTACAGTAACTCAGGTTCTTGAACTGATGATCCTCTTGTCTCAGACTCTGAGTGCTGGAATTGTAGGCATGTGTCCCTACAACCTACTGCATCATTATTCTTAAGAGGTTATTAGTTTGTTTGTTTGTTTTTAATCACATCTTTGTCTTGATATGGTCATGCTGGCTTTATTCTTTCATTATATTTCCTTCTCTTCAAATTTTGGAAAGTATTTGAGAAGGATTGGTGTTATTATTTCTTTTTAATTAAAAAAATTATTTTATACACAAAAACCATGTGTTTTGCTGGCGTGTATGCTGGTGCACCGTGTGCATGTAGTGCCCAGAGAGGCCAGAAGAGGGAGGCATTGGATTCTCTGGATCTGGAGTTAGAAGATTCATGTGAGCGCCCACGTGGGTGCTGGAAATTAAACCTGAGTCCTCTCGAAGAGCAGCCAGTGCTCTTACCTGCTGCACCGTCTCGCCAGCCCCCGGTGTTAATTTTTTATTTCCTTCTTTTTTTTCACGTTTGATAAAGTTTCCCAGTGAGTTCATCCGTCTTGGTGTTTTTTGTTTTTGTTTTTTTTTCAACAAATTCAGTTTCCTGATAATTATGTATCGATCTGGCATTTCTGCTTATTTAGAATTCAGCCTGTTAGAGTGTATGTTTCTGGGAATTTGTTTATTTCATACAGATTATCCAGTGTTCTAGAGGCTGGAGAGACGGCTCAGTGCCTAAGCGAATTTGCTGCTTTGGC